TCCAACTCCATGGCAGTGGTTGCATTGCATTTGCATATATTTTCCAGATCATTTTAAATATGCATAGAAAATACATAAAAATCTGATTTGAAAACTCTAACCACAAACTACGAAACACATGAATCTTTCTTAATTCAAAATATTCAAATAATAACTTCATGAACCCCCCATACACATAACAACAACTATTTAAAATTTAATCAGTGTCCATACCTGATATAAAGCAAGAGAATGTCCGTATCTCTGGACAGGCCCCCTTGTTAGAGTTCCTACATTCCATATACTGCTTTCTAAATTGTAACTAAAAACAAAAAAAAGAAAAGAACTTCATAAGCTAAGGTTTTCAGTTTTTTAATTTGCATGCACTTTTCTTCAATTTGTATTCAAGTAGTAATTAAAATCAGTAACAATTATAACTAATAAACTCATAATCTCATGTACCATATTAGACATTTTTAATGACGATTTATTCAAGATATACCTAATCTAAATTAGGATTCAATGACCTAAATGTATAATACACATTAACTTGACTTGACTAGGATATTTATTACTGGAATTAATGTGTTCAGTAACTTTTTATCATTTCAACCACCTGGATTTGCTTAAACAATAGTGTTCTGCATTTTTAAGCAAACAAAAGAAAGTCAGTTTTTGCTTCTTGAAAATTTTCCCTGTTTTTCAAAGGCCATTTCCTTTATGCATTCTACACACATGTACTTTATGCACAATTAGCTTAGCACTACATAAACGAACTAGCATCTATTTCTTGTGCAAAATTATAGCTTACTGACTAATAACTCTTTTACGACTGTATAAAGTGAATCCAATAGTATAGAAGATTCTGTAAAAATAAGGTAGTAAGAAAAGTTTTAATTAAAAATAAATAAGGTACTGCTAGATTACAGAACGTAAAAAAGGAAGCCAAAATGGTAAACCTCGTTTTACCATACTTCACTGTACTGCACTTCACAGATACTGTGTGTTTTTTTACAAGTTAAAGGTTTGTTGCAACCCTGCATGCAGCAACTCTATCAGGGCCATTTTCCAAAAGCACATGCTCACTTTGTGTCTGTGTGTCATATTTTGGTAATTTTCACAATGTTTCCAATTTTTTCATGACGCTATTGCACATTTAATAGAACACAGTATGTAGTCCATGTAACTTTTATGTGCACTAGGAACCCAAACGATGTGTGTGATTGCTTTATTGTGAGATTCCTTTATTGCGGTGGCCCAGAACCAAGCCTGCTGTATCTCTGAGGTATGCCTGGATTTGTTCCCCTGCTCTACAAGTGTTACGTATGAAAACAAGTTTTAAACCCTTCTCTAACAGAATCCAGTCTAGCTATCATTATCATACTCAACATTCAAATCTCCTCAATTTGCCAAAACATAACAAGAGAAAGCACCCAGCCAAGAAAGGACCAGGGCCCTGTTTTTAAGAGCTTCACTACCGTTGACTTCCTCTTCCCTCTCCTCTTCTAACTCATCAGTAAGACAAGAAAGTCACCTACCCCTTCCCAAAAAAGTCAGGTTTACCAAAACTGTTTACAGCATTACAGTTAACTTATTCCCTACTTTGGAGTTATAAGACAGATAGGAAATATAATCAATCTATAATCAATCAGAACATATTCCATAGACTCACATCACTATAGCTACCCATCTAACCAGTATCTGCACCCAACACACTGCTTTCAACCAAATTACCATAAATCATCAGGGGTCAAGTAAATAATTCTGTAAAGAGCAAGATAATAAATGTTAGGTATTGCAGGCCACAGTGGTCTATCATGTTCGTCTTTGCTCTTTTTTATAACCCAATAAAAGTTTTAAAACCATTCTTATTAGCTCCTGGGCCCCTAGCCTAAGTTGACTTATCCCTGCTATAAGGAACTATTTGTGCTCCTTATGCACTAGATCCCTACCACTCCAGCAGTTCTCCCCTCTCCTCCTTATATCCCCATTTTTTTATCATACTAGATTATTCCCTTGAATCACACTCACTCACTGCCATCGAGTGGAACCCGACTCATAGCAACCCCCGCCTTGGGTTTCCGATGCAGTATCACTATGGAACTGATTGCCCAACCTTCCTGCCAAGGAGTGGCTGATGGGTTTGAACCGTCAGCCTTCTGGTTAGCAGTTAAATGCCTTAGGCACTATGCTACCAGATTCCCTTAATGCACTGCCGTCGAGTCAGTCCCAACTCATAGCGACCCTTCCTTGGGTTTCCAAGGCAGTATCTCTATGGAACCAGACTGCCCAATGTTCCTTCCAAGGAGTGGCTGGTGGGTTTGAACTGCCAGCCTTCTGGTTAGCAGTCAAATGCTTTAGGCACTATGCCACCAGAGCTCCCCAGATTCCCTTAGGCATACAAATAGGTGTTAGATTTCTCTCTTGATCCCACTTTCCCTCAAGCTACCATTTCTTTTTTCCCCAACCTGCACATTCTCTTTTAAATTAACTCCAGTGAACCTGACCAGTCCAGTAAAACTGCTTTTGTTAAGGTCAACTTCCTCATGCTAAATCCATGTTACTGTTCAGTCTTCATTTTATTTGATCTGGTGAATCCCTAGCATTGAACACTGTTAATCACTCCTTAGTCCTCATATACTCTCTTCCCTTGCCTTCGAAGACACCATACTATTTGGCTTTCCTATCTCACTGTCTCCTTCGCTCCTTTCTTCCCAACCGCTTAAGGGATAAAATGGCTCAGGCTCAGTTCTTGGTCCTTTTCTATATCTACAACAAATCACCTTGAGAATCTCATTTTAATTCACCTCCTTGTTCCTGTTCTTCCCCCAACCCCTGGTCTATTCTCAACAGAGCAGTCATAGTAAGCCTTTTAAAATCAAGTCAAGGCAAAGCATGCTCAAAACACTCCCATGGGTCCCAAAAATCTGAAATGTCCTACACCATCTGTCTTCCTCTCCATTATCCCTCTTAATTTCACGCCTCCTCCTCATGTATTCCATGCCAGTCACATGGGTACTCTGTTAACCCTCAAAGATTACAGATAGCTCCTCCTACAAAGCCTCTGTCTCTGCCTCCAGATCATCACACGGCCAACTTTCTTGCTTCCTTTAAATCTTTGCTCTTATTTCAGTTTCCATGAGCCTTACCTTAACCACTCCATTTAAAATAAAAACTCTCTCTCCTCTTTGATACTCTGATCTGCTTATTCCTCCTATCTAATCTATGTATCAGGAGCTCTGGTAGCATAGTGCCTAAGGCACTTGACTGCTCACCAGAAGGCTGGTGGTTCAAACCCACCAGCCACTCATCATCGGAAGGAAGGTTGAGCAATCCTACTTCTGTAGTGATACTGCCTCGGAAACCCAAGGAGGGGTCGCTATGAGTCGGGGCCGGCTTGACGGCAAATAACAACAACAACAATCTATGTATCATCTATCAATCACAGAGAGATGATACATCAACAGATACATATATAGAGAGAGAGAGAGAGATACACACATATTGGCACATACATGCATATCTAAATCCACTGTCATCAAGTCAATTCCAGCTCATAGCAACCCCAACTGGGTTTCCAAGGTGGTAATCTTTATGGAAGTATATTGCCCCATGCCTTCTGCTGAGCAGCTGGTGGGTTTGAACCACCAACCTGTTAGCAGTCAAATGCCTTAGGCACTGCACCACCAGAGCTCCTTATATGCATGTGTACATATGTATAATTATTTATTACATTTATTTTTTCATTGCCTGTCTTTCCTCCTAACTCTATAAACAAAGGGATGTTTGCTATGGCTGCTGATATATCCAAAGGCACCCTGAAAATAGTTCAAGTGCTCAAATACAGTCAATTGAACTCATGAATACATAATTTAATTTCACTAATGCCAATGTAATTCAAAGTTCTACTCTATTTTTACAAAGCTTTTAATTTTCTTTAATCATAGTTGATTTCCTTTTAGTTTCCACATTTAAATTTCATTATTTACTCAGGTTCTTCTCACATCTTAACGTTTTATCCCACCAAGTCCTCTTCCAATTCTTCCTACTACATTTTTATTCTCTCCAAATATATTTTTTGATAGAGTTGTTCACTTAAATACTTACTTCCCTCCCTCCTTCAAGAATTCACATCATCTTCTTTCATAACTTACTTTCAGTCATTTTTCAATCAGCTTTAAAGCAATCTCTTACTCAGTAGAATTTCTTAAATCCTCAAAATTAGAAGGGTTAATATATTCAGTGGACAGGGTTACCAGATAAAATCCAGGTTTCCCAGTTAAATGTGAATTTCAGATAGATAACAAATAATTCCTTAGTATAAGTTTGGTCCATGAAGTATTTGGGACAAAATAAAAATACAGTATGGGACGTACCTATACTGAAAAATTTATTTGCTGTTTATCTGAACTTCAGCTTTAACTGGGTATCCTATATGTTCACTGCTACATCTGGCAGCCCTGTTGGGTATGCACCATTATGGTATATCTCCAGTGTCAATTTTGACTGCTTAATACCTATGCTGCACAGGTTATTACATGCTTCTTCCTGTAAACAACATTACTGACCAGTGGATTCTTTCTATTTCTCTTTTATTTTGTTTTTGAATGGCTTATAAAATACAGCAACATCTGAAAAAAAAAATCAGATAAAGCTCCTATTCATGTGTTTCCACTTATCACCCAATCATAAAGAAGACAATCTCTACTGAGCCAAAAATAAATAAATGACCTATTTTCTAAATACTGGCCTTCTTCTCCCAATCAATGCTTTTAAAGTACATAAAAGGTACAGTTTCAGGAAAATTAAAATTTACAAAACAAACCAAAAATATTTTTATATAAGAAACGATACTTCATTCTGAAAAACTAGAAAGTGGCAGGATTCTTAAGGCCCCATAAAGCGTGATTTCCTTTTATTCAAAGTCAATAGCTTCCATACACAAAAGAATCCCCAAAATCCACAATGACAAATAATTAGCTATAGACACACTGAGTTCACATATTCTGAAAGAAGATTCACATAACAAATAAACATTGTCACAAAAACAACCACCAGTAAGTCTGAACAGCAATAAAACAGGACATTTATGATACTCTTAATATGAAAAAAAGCTTAAATAATATTATGAAAATCTGAAAAATATTACTTACTTCAAGACCATTTGAAAAGAACTGTAGTTAAAAGTATATCCACCAATCACCCACATAAATTTCCCATGTAAAACTGCTTTATGTGAAGCCCGACCTACAGAAGGACTGAAGGGTTTAACATTTGGCAGAATCCAGTAAGACTCAGTAGAAGGAACATTCAAGGAACAATCAGGACCTATTTTTAAAAAGAATCAAACAACACACTGCATTAAGCAAAGACCTTATAGAAATAGAATACACAGATTAAGAGAATTTAATAATTCAAAGCTTATTACATTAATAAATGTATTGTTCCTGAAATACATAATTAATGTCGTAAAGTATAATTTATTTTTAAAAACTCTAACAGCAAATGCAGTGCCTACAAAGAAAAGAATCACACATTCAATCAATATGAACTCAGTCAAATAAATATCACAATCTGAAGGAATTGTTTAAACAATATAAAATTTTAGATTTACTTTAAATGTTAGAATGTAAAATAATACACTAAAATTCCAGTTCTGTCTCTTAGCAGCAGAATGACCTCTGACCTAAGGCAAGTCTGTTTACCCATCTCGTCACCAAGTCTTCATGTATAAAACGCAAATCGTGCTCACTCCCTATGGGTTGTTATTAATATTTGATTTTTTAAAAGAAAGTAGAAATGAAACCATTTATAAATTAGACTATTTAACAAATATGAAAAACATTATATTTTTTTTCTCAGTATCATTCAACTCAGAGGTGGACCAACTATACAGCCTGTGAGCCAAATTGAGCCCAGCCCACTACAACCTTGAATTCCCATCTGAATTTCAGGACCATTTCAAGAAGACATTTAATGTACTGAACACTAATTTTTAAAGATTAGATGAGTTGTAGGATGACATAAGGGACATCATATGTAAAGAAAGTAAAAGGTCATTAACAGGAAAGAAACAAAAAACAAAACGGATGTCAGAGAGGCTCTGAAAAATCCCTCTTGACTGCAGGGTAGCTAAAGTGAACGGAAGAAATGATGACATGAGAAGGCTGAACAGAAGATGTCAAGGGCAACTGCAGAAGATAAAGTAAGGTGCTGTATTGGCTCTCTAGTGCTGTTGTAACAGACATAGCATAAGTGGACTTCTGAAAGAAGATCCATGAAGCAAATAAATACGATCACAAAAATAACTGCTAACAAGTCTGAAAAGCAATCAAACAAGACATTTATGATATTCTTAACATGGAAAAAAATCAGCTTAAATAAGATTATGAAAATCTGAAAAATATTACATCAAGACCATTTGAAAAGAATGGTAGCTAAAATAAATCTACCAATCACCCACATAAATTTCCCATGTAAAAGTGCTTTATGTGAAGCATAAAGCAAACAAGGACTTACTCTCTTACAGTTTAGGAGGCTAGAAGTAAAAGTTCAAAGTGCCAGCTCTATGGGCTGGGTGAAGACCCCTCAACCTTGGGCTTCAACTCTATCTCTTGCTCCCAGCCCCCTGAAGCTGGAGGTCTCTCTTAACTCAGGCAGCTGCTGGCTGCTTAGAGTGACAAACCCAAGGTCGACAACTAAACTGGCACGGCCCCAAAATTATTAAGCGACACAGCAGGCCACTGTGTTTCAAGTCCAGAAACAGTCCCAAGATTGGTGGACAACATGGCAAGCTACTGAATAAAGACTCAGCTACATGCAGGGTCCAAAGGTGCCAAAAAGTTCAGAGACTCTGTCAAAGTGTCTTCTTACATACTAGAAGCAGAACACATCCCTAAGGCAGCTACTCAGCTGCTCACAGTAAATTACACCATGGAGTTGATGACCAGTTTCATCATGGGGAATACTACATCCAGCTGCCCAGCCACTCAGAACCAGGCCCAGCCAAGTTGACCCATGACCCTAACTACCA